GTAAGTAAACAGAGACTTAGGATGTCCAATTTGTAAGTAAATTAATGAAGGCTTAGGATGTCCATTTTGAGAGTTAATTAATGAAGGCTGAGGATGTCCATTTTGAGAGTTAATTAATGAAGGCTTAGGATGTCCAATTTGAGAGTTAATTAATGAAGGCTTAGGATGTCCAATTTGAGAGTTAATTAATGAAGGCTTAGGATGACCACAGTGAATCAGTTTATGAAGGCTTAGTATGTCCAATTTGAGAGTTAATTAATGAAGGCTTAGGATGACCACAGTGAATCAGTTAATGAAGGCTTAGGATGTCCAATTTGAGAGTTAATTAATGAAGGCTTAGGATGTCCAATTTGAGAGTTAATTAATGAAGGCTTAGGATGACCACAGTGAATCAGTTTATGAAGGCTTAGGATGTCCAATTTGAGAGTTAATTAATGAAGGCTTAGGATGTCAAATTTGAGAGTTAATTAATGAAGGCTTAGGATGTCCAATTTGAGAGTTAATTAACGAAGGCTTAGGATGTCCAATTTGAGAGTTAATTAATGAAGGCTTAGGATGACCACAGTGAATCAGTTTATGAAGGCTTAGGATGTCCAATTTGAGAGTTAATTAATGAAGGCTTAGGATGTCCAATTTGAGAGTTAATTAATGAAGGCTTTAGGAATCAGTTAATGAAGGTTTAGGATGTCCAATTTGAGAGTTAATTAATGAAGGCTTAGGATGTCCAATTTGAGAGTTAATTAATGAAGGCTTAGGATGACCACAGTGAATCAGTTTATGAAGGCTTATGATGTCCAATTTGAGAGTTAATTAATGAAGGCTTAGGATGCCAAATTTGAGAGTTAATTAATGAAGGCTTAGGATGTCCAATTTGAGAATTAATGAAGGCTTAGGATGTCCAATTTGAGAGTTAATTAATGAAGGCTTAGGATGTCCAATTTGAGAGTTAATTAATGAAGGCTTAGGATGACCACAGTGAATCAGTTTATGATGGCTTAGTATGTCCAATTTGAGAGTTAATTAATGAAGGTTTAGGATGTCCAATTTGAGAGTTAATTAATGAAGGCTTAGGATGTCCAATTTGAGAGTTAATTAATGAAGGCTTAGGATGACCACAGTGAATCAGTTTATGAAGGCTTAGTATGTCCAATTTGAGAGTTAATTAATGAAGGTTTAGGATGTCCAATTTTAGAGTTAATTAAAGAAGGCTTAGGATGTCCAATTTGAGAGTTAATTAATGAAGGCTTAGGATGACCACAGTGAATCAGTTTATGAAGGCTTAAGATGTCCAATTTGAGAGTTAATTAATAAAGGCTTAGGATGTCCAATTTGAGAGTTAATTAATGAAGGCTTAGGATGTCCAATTTGAGAGTTAATTAATGAAGGCTTAGGATGTCCAAATTGAGTGTTAATTAATGAAGGCTTAGGATGTCCACTTAGTGAGTTAATGAGTGTTAACTCAGTTTGAGAGTTAATTAATAAAGGCTTTTGAAGACCTCTCAGTGAGTTAGTTAATGAAGGTTTAGGGAGACCACTTCATGGATTAATTAATGAAGGCTTTGCTGTCTAGAAGTAATAATATCATGGTTTCTGCCAGTTTGATTGGAAAGGGCCCCTGACTAAAAATACTGAAAATACTGTCAGCTTTTTCAGCCCTAGAAATATACCATTGGCTTTTTATGAATTTGGGAAATAAATACAAAAGTAGAAAATTGATAAAGAGATATAACAATAAATAAGTGAATAAAGAGATGAAAAATAAAAGAAAATGGTGTTTAATAGTTTATACAATAATTATTGAAATGAACAGCGTGTTAAGGATAATTTTCATATCAGTGCTTACTGTCTATCATGTTATTTAACCGGTGTTTTAGTTACTACCATTTTTCTTACATGTACAATATCTGTAGAATTTTTTGATAACTGAAACAACAAAGAGGTATGAAGAAAAGGGATTGTTTTTGTTAGCTTACTTTATTAGGACTAGTTAACAAAGAAATCCAACAATTAAAAAAGCAAAAGAGAAAATATTGAAACAAAAAGAAAAAGGAAAGAAAATATAGATATAAAAAAAACTTACTAGTATATTATTTAACATTAGAAAATAATTTTTATAGCTAAAGCTATTATTTTTCATTGCTTGTGAACAATCAATCTCATCTCAAGTTATTTTTTTTGAATTCTGGAATCCTATGTCCAGCTATCCATTCCAATTATTAGTAAGATATTTACATGATAAACGGACACGTTTATCACCAATTAACATCTGTCCTTATGTCGCCAATAATATTTGTCCTTATGTCACCAATAACATCTGTCCTTATCTCACAAATAACATCTGTCCTTATGTACATCTGTCCTTATCTCACCAATAACATCTGTCCTTATGTACATCTGTCCTTATCTCACCAATAACATCTGTCCTTATGTCACTAATAACATCTGTCCTTATGTCACCAATTAACATATGTCCTTATGTCACCAAATAACATCTGTCTTTATCTCACAAATAACATCTGTCCTTATGTCACCAATAACATCTGTCCTTATCTCACCAATAACATGTCCTTATGTTGCCAAATAACATGTCCTTATGTCACCAATTAACATCTGTCCTTATGTCACCCATTAACATCTGTCCTTATCTCACCAATATCATCTGTCCTTATGTCACCAATTAACATCTGTCCTTATGTCACCAATTACATCTGTCCTTATGCCACCAATAACATCTGTCCTTATATCACCAATTAACATCTGTCCTTATGTCACCAGTAACATCTGTCCTTATGTCACCAATTAACATCTGTCCTTATGTCACCAATAACATCTGTCCTTATGTCACCAATTAACATCTGTCCTTATCTCACAAATAATATCTGTCCTTATCTCACAAATAATATCTGTCCTTATCCCACCAATTAACATCTGTTCTTATGTCTCAAATAGAATAGAAATGAACATGAAATTTTTCAATTTTTTTTTATTTGAATGTCTGGAAAAGTCATCTGAATTGATGTTGTCTACCCTTAGCCCCCCTCTCTTCTTCCATTCCGTGGGAACATGAAAAATAAAATGACTCTTTGAATTTTGAATTTTTTGAATTTGTTTTTTTTAAGAGACTGTCAAGGGTAGAATATATATTGATTGTAAACGTTAACAAGACAAGGACTGAAACTCAATGTTTTAACTCCTATGGAGAAATTGTAGACTGAAATTGGGAAAATAAGTATCATTTTAATTTGGAATGGATATGTGAACTGGACTCTATAAACTCATGGCAAAAACCTCAAATAGCTTCAGTCACACAAGTGACTAACTGATAATGCTAGAAGGACAGATTTTTTAAGGAAGAGAAGTTGGATAAGAAGAGAATCTAAGAATGGCATAGCCTTGGCTTTAGTGACGTAGGACTGCTATATACACTTTATTTTTCAGGTGTGTACTACCATCACAAAAAAAGATTGGAGCTATGTGATTGACTCTAAGTATTAATTTTTTTTCTTACATGTTCTTGGTATATATATATTGATATTTAGAAAATAAGTATGGTACTACAAATATTTTGTTTATGAGTATTTTGATTGATATTTTTTTGTTTTTTTGTTGTTTTTTTTAAGACAAAGATCAGAGAAGTGTTTCCTCTGCCTTTTTGAAATACACACAAATATTCAATGGTGTAGTCATGCATTCATATGCGTTTGACTCATTAAAATTTGAAGGGAAGTTGATTAAGACTTTGTAATGTGTTATTCCCATGTGGTATATGGTGTTGAATTTGGTTTCACTTCAATTCTCTGTTAGTACTAACAGTAAGGACTTAAATGGACTTGATGTGTGTGAGGTTTTTTTTAAACTGGATAAATAAATGTGTAGTGTGTAGGGCATTTATCTCCTTACAGTGACATTTGTAATGTTATTAAGATCTATTTTATTGTATTCTAAAATAAAAAAAAAGGTTTTCTCTTAGGCTTATAGTCTGCACATCCTGAATAGTGGTGTAGGTAAGGGGAGGTAACTCCTATATGCAGATCACTGGAGGTTAATGGTGCATTTACTTGTCAGGGATTTCAGTGTGTACAACTGATCTAATGTTAAATGTTTCATGCTTGTGAAGTGTTGATTGCTCTACTATATTTGTGAGGTTGATGTGAATACTATAACCTAGAAGCCTGCTGGTTGTCAATAATAGTTTGGTCTTGATATCTACAGTTACATGAACATCTGGTACACAACACTTACAAAGGCCTATTTGATGTAAAGAAATAGTAGTTTTTGTGTGTTTCATGCCACAAGATAGAATGGTGTTACTATAGCAGTGTCATTGTCATTTAGAACAAAAAACAGATAATTTTGTGTAACCACCTTGATGGTTGGTTTGTCCCCTGCAACAGTTAGGGTGATAGACTGAAATCAGATGGACTTAAGTAGACTGATTTGTAAGAGAAATTAAAACTGAAACAAATGCCTTTGTCAGCACCAGTTAATTTCTTCTTTTTTTTATGTAGGAATAATGGCTTTAATTTGTCTTTACATGGGAAGAAAAATGAGAAAACATGTAGGATGAATTGGAGTATATAAAACTTCTGTTTTGCTTCTCTGCAGCACATTGTTGTGTTATTACAGCAAAATTTCAAAATTTTCTGCAAGTATGTAAATCGCTTAAACCAGCGATTTCTCTATCAATTTTAGTTCTTTTGTTTGATTTTGGAGAAGAATATGACCATTTAGAACCCAAATTTTCAGAAGTCAGCCTGGAAATTTAGAGAATTATCCTTAAATTTTATGTAATGATGTAATGATTGGGCTGGGATTGTTCCTAAAGGAGGTCATGGATAGAGAGAGGGCATGTTAGGAAAGAAAGGTAAGATAAACAAACAAGCAAGCAAGTATATGTCCTAGAAACAAATATTTACTTCTATATTGAACTACTTGTATGATATATACTAAACAGTACAAATATTGTCATAAAATCTTAAAAAACTAACTTACTGTTCCAGGTATCCGGAACTTTTCAACCAGAGGTAAGACACGTTCTCTTTACCTTGTTTATATTCCAGAAAATTAATCAGTGATGTGTTTATTGGAAAATGTAAATACTGGATTAACTCTGATTTAAACCAGTGGGAAATACACATGCATGTTGCTGTTTTACACCTGTTAACAGTGTAGCTAATGTTTTGGTGAAAAGTGTTAATGGTCATGCAATTTTGAGGTATATTCATGACATATGATTTCCAGGATTGATTTGGTACTGTATTAATTTGACAACATTGTTATATTTAGTAACATGGTCCGACTTTCTGATGGCCTAATTTATCACAATAAAACTTCTGTTGTCAGCATTTAAATTAAGGAAACTTTTCAGCCAAAATGAAGACAGCAGTAAGTGGTGTAACAGCTAGGAGGTACGAGAGAATACACATGGTCGATGATCAAATTGATCGCTAGTGACAAGGCTGCCAAATCAGCAGTTTCCTAGACCAGTTCAGATTGATGAAAAAACGTCAACTAAAAATTCCAATCAGCATCCTATGTAAAAATGTTGGCGTAATCCAAATTAAATTCCGAAACTGGAGCCAGAAAAAATGGAAACAATCTATTATTATGTTTGTTAGACTGAACGTAAGTAATAAAGAATTTAATTCAAAGTCTGTTGTTTGGTTACACAGGTGGTATGTATTTGTGTAGTTAACAGTGTTGTAAAGAGCTATTCCCCTAATCAGACTAGGATTAGGTCTTCAATTGTTTACTGCTAAAAAAAATCACCGGAAATTATCCATAGAATAAGGATGTAACGTTGGGTGATATGTATAAGATACCATTGTCAAAGAGACTTTAATATGTTTACTTGGAAATGGCTATTACGATTAATCAAATCACACACTTCTTTCTTACTAATTACAATAATTTATTGAAAGGTTATTCAGTTGTGACCAGTACTTCAAGTAAAAAGTATTGATTAAGGATTGGATGTAATTATTCTGTAATTTTCCATTAAATATCCTCGGGAAAACTTGTGTCCAATCATTTGAGTTACTTCCCTTTAACTGTTATTGAAGATAATGATGACTGAGTGTTACAGGGTTGCTATGGAAACGGAGAACCCTGTGATGGATACTTATTCTCATTAATATTTCAGGGTTTGTTAAACATGTGACTAAATAGCTTTTGGTCATAGAGTATCTGTGGTGGCTATGATGCCAGCAGTGTATAGATTTGAGAATTGTTTGGAATACATTGAAGTTTTGTTTTACACCATGAATGAAGCGTTATTTTCTCGTAAACTTATTGAAAGCATCACTTGACGTACGTCTGTCAGGGTGAGCAGATTGACTTATTGAGATATGTAACATGTATTGAGATATGTAACATTTATTTTGTGAGTGTTTGGTTGTAATTTTGTTTCGGAAGCTGAAGCAGGCGGGGGCGAGATGGAAGTTACTGTTTTGGAAAAGATATAAGGAAGCATTACAGAAATAATAAAATATTTGAATCAATTGATTTGTCAGAATATTTGACCTATTGTCATTTGTCCGAATGTCATAACCTGTGATGTTGATTGACCATAGTATTGGACTTTTGGTCATTGGTAATGGAGTCGTTCCTGTGATATGTTTTGTACCTGTGGCGGTTTGTGAGAATGTCTACTCATTGATCATTAATTGTGATGTTTTATACATATAATGCATTCAATAGTGAAATAAAATGACACAAAATAGAGACAGTCTTGACTTTCTGTGGGAGGTGAAGGATGAAGCAAAAGTCATGCTTGCTGAAAATGCCTTGTACTGGATGACATTGCTTACATTTAATGATGATAAAGGTGGCAGTGTTGGTAGTTCTCAATTTTATGCCAACATGCTGTTTTAATCTGTTGCTTCAATCAGCTGTTGTTTAACTCAGCAGAATGCGTGAATCAGCTGTTGTTTAACTCAGCAGAATGCTTGAATCAGCTGTTGTTTAACTCAGCAGAATTCTTAAATCAGCTGTTGTTTAACTCAGCAGAATGCTTGAATCAGCTGTTGTTTAACTCAGCAGAATTCTTAAATCAGCTGTTGTTTAACTCAGCAGAATGCTTGAATCAGCTTTGTATAAAAATGGAACCACTCACACTAAAAATGCTATGCTTGATTAGATCTGTGTACTAGAATGAATGAAAATCCCTCCCCTCCATCTGTCATTAAGTAAACCTGGGTTATGAGTACATTCATTCCACTCTCATCCCTCCATCTTTCATCAAGTGACCCTGGGTTATGAGTAAATTAACCCCTACCTCATCCTTACATCTGTCATCAAGTGACCCTGGGTTATGAGTAAATCAACCCCTACCTCATCCTTACATCTGTCATCAAGTGACCCTGGGTTATGAGTAAATTAACCCCTACCTCATCCTTACATCTGTCATCAAGTGACCCTGGGTTATGAGTAAATTAACCCCTACCTCATCCTTACATCTGTCATCAAGTGACCCTGGGTTATGAGTACATTAACCCCTACCTCCCCTTCAATCTGGAACCAAGTGACCCTGGTTGTTGTGAGTACATTACCTCCTCCATCTGTCATCCATTCTTTCTCCTTCATCTCAATCTCAGGCCCCCCCCCCTTCCCCTCCCTCAAAAAAGAAGAAATTTCCATTGATGAATGCGGTTCTGTGCACCTGAATTGTGAAAGCTTATGGTGGAGAAGTTGCTAGGTACCAGTAAATGTTGTATTCCACCTCTATAGTAGTAACCCCCAGGGATTAATGTCCCCTGACTCTATAGCCTTTAATTTTATTTCTGGGCTACGTGCCCTGTTTATGGATTAATTTAATCATAATCTCATTTACACTACTAACCTGGGAAAAAATGTTCACATAGTTTACGTGAAAATCATCAGGGCTTACTTTTATGTTTTTTTAACTGTCCTTCTTCAGTTTCAGGAATCTGTTATTTTGTAGAAGGAAAACAGTCTTTGTGTTCATGTCTGTGTAAACGTTTTACATTTCTCATTTTTGAATAACCTCCGTATGGATTGTAACATGGACAGAAAGATCCTTGGAAGGCAGGAACCTGAAAATCCCAGGGGGCTGGGTTATGGGACAGAAATGGGGTAAAATGTCTTGAAAAATGTTTTCTCTAGTTCTGTAAATAACAGGTAAATGTTGTTACGTATATAAGTTGAGGGTTCCAGTCAAGTCCTTGGGGTCCCCAAGTTGGCTCGAAAAGAACTAAAATTTTTCAATATTTACACAAGAAATGAACATTGCTATCTCTTTCTGTCACAGTTATGAATATAAAGGGTTAAAATTTTGTTGACTGTGTGAGTTTTATGAGGGTTAGATAATAATTTGGTCATGACTAGGCTGGGTAATGAGGCCCAAAGTGGGAAAGTTGTCATATTCTAAAAAGTTTCTAGAAATGCCACAGCAGTAGACAGTTGAATGGGTAAGGAATATGAGTTCCCATTTAAATTCTAGAAGTAAATAATACTGTATCTTAATGTGAAATTTTGTATTGTTTGATGACTTGTAGATTGAAAATGGTCTTTGGGCACATATCCTTTGCATAGATACTGATGACAAAGTGATTGTATAAAGGAATATAACAGGAGTTGGATAGAGACATGTTGTTGTTTGATTCATGACATTGCTCTTTGATTCCCCTAATTGTCCAAATGCTTTTATTAATTTTTTTATTTAAACTTTCAATTTTCACTTTAGAAATGATGGATATATGTTAAAAAGAAATGTATAACTTCATGTCAGACAGATATGGTTACACATGTAGATAGGAAATATATAGCTTCATGTCAGACAGATATGGTTACACATGTAGACAGGAAATGTATAGCTTCATGTTGGACATATATGGTTACACATGTAGACAGGAAATGTATAGCTTCATGTCAGACATATATAGTTACACATGTAGACAGGAAATGTATAGCTTCATGTCAGACATATATAGTTACACATGTAGACAGGAAATGTATAGCTTCATGTTGGACATATATGGTTACACATGTAGACAGGAAATATATAGCTTCATGTTGGACATATACATTTTGACAAACCGTCATCCTATTAAATATTTCTGTATTATCTTGTAGTTCTTTCTAAACTTTACAAGCAGTTTTGGAAATATTTTCATTTTCTCTTTTTCGAAAATGTTGTCTTTGAATTCTTAACTGAAAGTTGACAAGAGCCTAATGTTTTTGTTGTTTTAAAGGCTCCCGTATCTAGAATGAATGTATCCCAATATCGTCTCTCGTCAAGGCCATCCTTAAATATGTAGATCACTGACACCTTATGAGACGGGTGATTAGATTAGGTGGCGACACTATAGTCATGTACAGAGCATGGTTAAAGGACCCGTAGCTGGAATCAACATATAATATAAACGGTATTCTGACACTGGTTCACACACCTCTGTAAATTAGAGGCAGATCATCAGTAAAAAGTCCAAGTCTTGTATCATTTCAGGTATGAGATATGGTATTGTGTAATTGTGAATTATTTTTGCCAGGCATTGGTGGAGTGATTATAAACCTGTTATATTAAGAATTGAAAAAAAGGTAATGTTCATGTTTATATATGTTTATATGTAATGAAAATGATCAAAGCATTGTGTACCATTTAAAATATCCTGTCTGTATACAAAAATCTACCAGTATACAGAAGACTGGGTCAGTAATTAGAAGGAAGGTACATATAACGAAGGCTGGGTCAATAATTAGAGGAAAGGTAGATATACAGAAGGCTGGGTCAGTAATTAGAATGAATGTAGATATACAGAAGGCTGGGTCAGTAATTAGAAGGAATGTAGATATACAGGAAGCTGGGCCAGTAATTAGAATGAAGGTAGATATACAGGAGGCTGGGTCAGTAATTAGAAGGAAGGTAGTTTTACAGATGGCTGGGTCAGTAATTAGAAGGAAGGTAGACATACAGGAGGCTGGGCCAGTAATTAGAAGGAAGGTAGATATACAGAAGGCTGGGTCAATAATTAGAAGGAAGGTAGATATACAGAAGGCTGGGTCA